CAAGGAGAATGGATGTTGCTGGAGACCTCTGCAGTAGGTCCCAGCCTCCTGTGAGCCACCACAGCACCAGCAAAAGGTTAAAGAATAGAAAGAATGAGACTTATAGTGAAGCTGAGTCTCGGATCCTGGTCAGTGCTACTGATGGCAGCAAAGACAAAAGCCCCCAAGCACATTCAGTATTTATTGAATACAATCATTAGAAGGAATAGGGAGCTGGGGAGCTTTGAAGTCATCTAGTGAATTACTGCTTAACACCTGGCATGACAGCACCAGGCAAGGCTGTTAGGGAGTAGGCACTGCTTGCTAGAATAGAAGAAACCAGTACTGGGACCAGGTGCAATTAGCAAGAAACCCCCAAGGTTAGTAAGAAATGATAATTTGGGGAAAAGGATTTTAATTAGGGTCACACTGACCTCAGCTGCACATAATTCAGCAGGGCCCTGCCACTTCACAGACCAGGACTTAGGCCTCAGTGATAGCCATTAGCAAAGGAGTAATACTACTCCAGCTTTGCTAGCTGACATGCCCATTTGAGTACTGCAGGGCTTCGATCTGAGTACTGATATAAAACAATATAGCCGAGACCAGGCATGGTGGCACACGCCTGTAATCCCTGCACGGGGGAGGTGAAGGCAGGAGGATGGCTGTGAGTTCGAGACCAGCCTGGGCTACATAGTGAGTTCCAGGTCAGTCTCAACTACATAGTGAGACCCTGTCTCAAAAACAAACAAACGAACAAAAAAACAATATAGCCAAATTAGGGAAGGAAAGAAGCAAATGCCACTCATACCCTGCTAGTATTGGGCAGGGATGTCGCCTACAAACCCTTAATAAGGGTAAAGGTGACTAAAGGTCAGACTAGGAGATCCAACAAGCATACGAAAGGAGGAATAGCTGTAGAGTATCATTTGAAATAAATGGGTGCTGGGCTTGAAGGTGCAGGCCAATAATCCCAGCATTCTGGAGGATGAGGCAAGAGAATTGCCACAAGTTTGAAGCCAACCTGGGCTCCATAGTGAGTGCAAGGCCAACCTGAACTATATAGCAAGACCCTGTCTCAAAAAAATAATTCTAAACTCTCACCTCTGGCTGACCTGGAAGCTCCATGCTGAGGGAAGTAAACCCTAAGGCAGAAAACAGCAAGCTATATAATTTAGTGCTGGAAGTATGGTCCAATATGCACAAAGAGCCCCCTGAGGAAGACTGGGAGATTTATTGGTCCCAAGACAGGTAGGAGAAATAACTGCCCTGTGGCCTGATCTCAGAAATGCTACACTTGTTTTGTTTAAATACACACATCTTGGAGTGCTGAAAGCCTTGAGACTTAGCATTCTGAAGAAAGTTGATTCTACTTTTGTCCTTGCATTTATGTGGAGGGGGTACTTTTTCAAGGGGTTCTCCCCATTTTTTTTTTTTTTTTTTTTTTTTTTTTTTTTTTTTTTTTTTTTTTTTTTTTTTGAGACCAGGCCTCTGTTGTGCAGGCTAGCCTTGAACTCACTATGTAGCCTAAATTGGCCTCGAACTCATGGCAATCCTCCTGCTGCACTCTCCAGAGTCCTGGGATTAGAGGCGTATCCCACCGTGCCAGCTCACGCTAGTTTTAGTTTCTTGAGGGACGGTTGGCTGACCTGGTCATGGTTGCTGCACCCATTATCTGTATAGCATGTACTTAAACCCTTGTCTGATGAACCAAGAAAAGACAGCCTTCCTATGTTCTCCTTGATTTCCCAGAGCGGCCACTGAGGTTGGCTGCTTGACTCGCTCTCTGGAGATGGCCCAGCGCTGCATGTGGAAGGAAAGATCCATGGGCCCTCTTCCAAGGTCTGGGTCGAAGAGAAGCCTTCAGGCTCTAGGTCTCTTTCCCTCCCGCGTGCCTCTCTCTTGGGGGCCAGAGCCGGGTACGGGGGAGGAATTCTGCGCGTATCCCAGGCAACAGGGAGATGAGCAGGGCCTGCCCAAGAGCCAGTTTCCACGACAACCGTGGAAGCTAGACGAGACTGTACCGGATTCCTGACAGCTCGGTCTAATCCAGGTCCCGCCCGCGATCCAGCCCCTGGCTCGACTCTCTC